TAAACTACCTAAGAGACAATGTTGGTACAAAGTGGGAAACTGAGGCGGTGCCTTCATAGATTAGGAGGAGTGAAGCCACAGATCCTGGGCCAGCCAGGTTCCCATAGTCATTCCATCTACTGTGCCCTCCTGGCTTCCAGCAGGGTGGCTTCTCTCTGGGCGCCTCTTGTAGGTGGGTCTCAAAAACCTGGGCAGGCAGTGCCCCCTGCTGCCTGAGGGCCTGGCCCTAGGCTCTCTCTCCGCAGGTTCAGATCCCGCTGGATCACATGAGTCTGGAGTCCGGTGCAGTGACTGACACAGGGCAGGAGCTTGTGAAACGGAAGTCACCTGCCATTTTATTTTCCCTTGGAAAGAGTTTTTCCTAGGCTCTGGGGATTTTCCTTATCCAGATAAAAACAGAAAACGGGAGAAACCTGCATTTTGGTGGAGCACTGCCGCCCCCGTGTGGGTATCTTGCGATACTACAACAGCGGGGTACCCAAGACTGAAGCTTTGCAGGTCCCAGGTTCTGTGACTTCCTTGGACCCTGAAAGACAGATGTCCACCAGGGCTATGACATTTAAGGATCAGTCTGGAGAGGGAACAAGAGAGTATGGGGCTTCTTGCAGATGGTACCTTTGGGAAACCAGCCTTAGGAGTGTGTGTGGGCAGATGCAGCCTTCGCATCTTGTCCAGGGCAAGGTGGGCGGGAATAGGCTTTCTCCCTTGAACTAAGTATACAGAACGGTCTAATTTCAGGGCAGTAGAGGTCTGGGGGGTGGGGGTGGGGGGGTGATTTCTGGGGAATGGAGCAGCAGTGCCTCCCCAGCCAGCTGTCGGGCATGGGTGTTAGCACCAGGGCCTGCAAGCCCCTCCCAGTGTGCTTGGTGGCCTTCTTTTCTGCACCTGTGGTTGGGCTGCGGTCTAACGGCCCAGCCTCCCTCTTCTGGGCACGTGGCCTGGAGAGATGCTATCTCCAACTCTGTATTTTTAACTCCTCTTTCCAGAGGATGTGGCTTCTGCGGAGAGCTTCAAAGGGCGCCCTGTTTGCCCCTGTCAGCAACCATGACGTCACGGAAATGGGAGGGGGCTGTTCAGCCCCAAACACCTGGAGGGAAGTGGGAAGCTCTTTCCATTTCCTGTTCTACTTTTGGCTATTGAATCGGTATCTGACCAGCTTGCCATTTCAGGGTGCAGCTGTCTGTGATTCTTGGAGGAGATCCTGTGCCTTCCGTGTCTGTGTGAAGAGGCACGAAGCTGGTGGTGTGTCTCATGTGGCCGTCCACAAAGCAGGGGCTGGTGGTCCTTCAGACTGCCCAGCATATGCACTAGCAAGAGTCATCTTATTTGACAGTCTCTCTCACACTCACCCTGGAAGGATCCCTTGGGGACCCAGCCTTAGTTGTGTGTGGGCAGAGGCAGCCTTCACATCCCGACCAGGGCAGGGTGGGCTGGACATAGCCTTCCCCCCTTGTACTGAGTAAGCCAAAAGCCATTCTTCCCACGTGTTACTTGAGGGAAGTAGGTTTGAGGGGATAGTATGGGTCACAGGAGAAGCTGAAGTGGACACCAAGTGACCTTTTGGCCCTGGGACGTCAGTGGTCACATACAACCAGAGCTGAGACATTTAGAAACTTGTGTTTCCCAGGATTCAGTGGGCCTGTGAGTGCTTGCACGGAGTGCCCTCCTCAAGAGGCCACCACTCAAGTTTTCATTATTCTGATAGATTTGCCAGCTTACTCTACGCCTTGCAAATGGCGGTGGCTCACCCAGTCACGTCCTCTATTAGTCCCCCCCTTCTTCCCTCTGGAGCTCAGCTCCCCCCCAGGACTAAGTGTGGAGGTCCTCATGAGTTCATTTGTTGGTGTCTGTCGGGTGCCAGGTACTGCGCTATGAGGACATACCGATGAGCAAGGTGCTCCTCCCACCCCAGTAGCAGACACTGTCCGGCACACTTCCCCCCAGGATGTCACCTGATAGGGAAGTGGTGTCAGGGTTTCACGTGAGACTTGGGAGTTGAACTCTATGGTGTACCCCAAAGCAAAATGAGACAAGACAAAGCTTTAAGCCTCAGACGGCTGCCTGGGTGGTCAGAGTGGAGCTCCTACCTGGATGCTCCCTAATACAGGCCTGTGCAGCCTGTCTGCTTCCTGTCTGGCTCAACCGTGACCCCAGCTGCACTGGTAGGGGATGGACAAACCTCTGGGGAAGTTTCAGAACACCCTCCACGTTCTGGCCTTGGAACATGGGGGTCCAGTTTTCTACGCCACAGTTGGTCTACATGACTCCCTTGAGGAAGCAGGGCCTTTGTCTAGACCCTGGAGGCATCCATTTACAACTGGCCCTGGCAAATTGTTTGCTGCAGATGGGTGCCTTCCCTCCGTGAGTTGGTCCAGGCTGGTTAGGATGCAGCAGCACTTTGTGACCACTGTCTCTTTGTCATGTTTTCAGGTTTCCTCAGTAAGCCCTTCCTTCTGGACTAAACATTGGTCAGCCTAGAACCCGCCATGAAGGAGCCTCTTGCCTTTTCCCAGCACTTGTTCTCCACTGGGGCTGTCCCAGCCCCTGTGGAGACAGCCCCAGCAGTGAGGGGATGTTTGTGTTCTGATAAGATGGCCATTTTTCAGGGAGTGAAGTTGACACCGATCTCTTGATGGCCTCCTGCCTGCCGGGGCTTTGTCACAGCCTAGCTTGGGTTGGGCCTGAAAGGAAGAAACCTTACTCCAGGGGCGTGGGTGGATCTTCAGCCCCTGCCACATCCCCTCAACATGGTTCTCAGGTAACCCTAGGCTTCTAGTGGCCTCTGGATGTTGCTGTCTGATGGCACTGGGCTAGTGTGGTCCAGTAGAGGCCTGGGCCTCTACCAAGTCTAGAGGAGGGGTCTGTCTTTGGCTTCTCTGTTGCCTTCTAGGCTTTTTTTGCCCACCCCATGCTCACCTGGTCCCCTGTAGCTTCTGTGTAGCTATAGCCAATTTCCAGGAGCGCTCCTACTCCCCAGTCGCCACACTTTCTTTACCTGCCTGAATCAATCTTTCTTTCTTTCTTTCTTTCTTTCTTTCTTTCTTTCCTTTTAAGAACAAAGTGAATTACTACTTCCTGGAGGAGGGAGAAAAACTAATTTGCCCTAAGTTTTTAATGGTTGATAAAGGCTTGCTCTACTAACCTTCCCAGGGGCATTTTCATTTAATACTGGGAAGACAATGGTTTAATTAAAAGAAATTCCCAGTGGTAGTTCCCTGGCATCGTGTCAGACAGATGAGGAGGGGCTTGGGGAAGAGGCTTCAGTGCCCCTCCTCCACGTGTGAGGGTGGCCCTGTCACGATGGTGTCTCCTGAGGCCTTTCCCTTTAGTAATCTTTTTTTTTCCTTTTTTTTTTATTGCGAAAAGAAGAAAAAAAAAACATAAACAAAAAAACAAGTTTCCACCTCCTCCCAGCCTCCCATTTCCCTTCCCCTCCTCCCACCCTTCTCCCCCTCCTCCCACCCTTCTCCCCCTCCCCCCACTCCTCTCCCCCTCCCTCTCCAGTCCACAGAGCAGTCCGGGTTCCCTGCCCTGTGTTAAGTCCTAGGTCCTCCCCCCTCCGTCCATATCTAGGAAGGTGAACATCCAAACTGGCTAGGCTCCCACAAAGCCAGCACATTAAGTAGGATCAAAACCCCCTGCCATTGTCCTTGGTGTCTCATCAGCCCTCATTGTTCGCCATGTTCAGAGAGTCTGGTTTTATCCCATGCTTTTTCGGTCACAGTCCAGCTGGCCTTGGTGAGCTCCCCGTAGATCAGCTCCACTGTCTCAGTGGGTGGATGCATGCCTCGTGGTCCCGAATTCTTTGCTCATGTTCTCCCTCCTTCTGCTCCTCTTTGGGACCTTGGGAGCTCAGTCCAGTGCTCCTGTGTGGGTCTCTGTCTCTATCTCTATCCATCACCAGATGAAGATTCTATGATGATATGCAAGATATTCGTCAGTATTGCTCTAGGATAGGGTCATTTCAGGTTCCCAATCCTCAGCTGCCCAAGAGCCACTTTAGGGTGGGCAAGAGACTTGACCCTAGAGGGGCTCCCTAGTGACCTTTAGTAATCTTGAAAGGCTTCTGTGTAGGCTAGCGATGAGGCAGTTTAGAATAAAGAGATTCTGTGGTTACTCTGGGACATGGGCTTTGCTGTAGGTGGCCTCCAGTCCCACCTGACCCTACATAGGTGGTGACCCTGAAGCTCATAGAAGGGAGAGACAAGCCTTCCATCACCTATTCAAGCTGGTAGCCCCATCCCTATGAGAAGAGGCAGGCCTAGGTTACAGCTGGGAGGATCTGTCTATTTCTGGCTAGCATGGTCGTAGACACACGGCCGAATCGTGGAAGGACTGGGTGGTGGCGGGGCAGTCCTGGGAATCAGGAAGTACTCCTTTTTGGTCTTGGACAAGGCAGTTGTCCGTTGGTCTCTGGAGTGTATTCCCGTCAGAATCCCGCCCTTGGGGAGGACTGACAGCAGAGGCTGGGCAGAGAGTTGGGTGCTCTGAGGCCCAGGGACTCTCACTTATGCTAGAGGCGAGCGTTTGGGACATCTACTCTCCTTGGCCAAGTCCTAGCCATAGATTTATAGGGTGAAACACTTCTCAGTGACAAGACACTCTGAGCATGAAAGAAAAAAAAGAAAAAAAATGTCCCTGGAGAGCAGGAGCCAGGGGTGACAATATTGGGGACACTTGTCATCATTGTCTGGTAAATTTCAGCTATATGTTATGAGTGACCTAAGGCATGGTATGAGCTGGGACCCACACCTTCCTGGCTCTTGGTACAGATTACTTGGTGAAATTTTTAAGAGTTCATCCCGAGAAGAGGTTGGGCAGCGTGACACACACTTCGGTTTCTCTCTGCCTAGCTGGTGATAAGCAGTGTGAAAATGTCCCCACCAAACCCAGTCAAATGAGGTCACAGTTTCTGCTCTTCTGAGTCATCTTTAATGAAGCCATGCACAGCAGAGCGATGTACAGCTCACACACACAGGAGCAGGGAGGGTCTAGACAAGGAGTTAAGTTTTCTACATCTTGAGGAAAGAGTAATGTGTATTTCTTTATGGATGCTTTAAAAGAACCAAAAACAAAAACATGCTCTTTACAACATTCACGAGGAACTGCAGTCGCAGGGGTGGGGGTGGGGGAGAGCAGGGGTGTGTGTGAAGGGTCTTCACATCCAGGAGAAGCAGCAGCCCCTGCCTGTCTTGAGTGGGCGGCAGCAGTGAGGAAGTGGGGGTAGTAGCGGCTCTTCAGCGGTCTCCATCACAGATTCAGGAGATCCAGTTGATGGGGTTGTGAGCTGCTCAGAGCCTTCTTTAGGAGGTGGGCGGGCTCTTTTTCCACTTGAAGAGGGCGAGGAGGGGTGATGAAGAGAAAGGAGCTTGGGAGTTCAGCCTCCTTCAGTCTGGAAACCTGGAGTGAGGAAGAGCAGAGGTCAGGCTTGGTCTTGAAGACTAGGACTCAGGGATGCCATGGGGAAGGCTGGGTTTGGGGCTGTGCAAAATGACTGGGAACCTTGTCAGGGTAGAAGTGTGAGGACTCTAGCCAGGCTTAGGGATAATGAATATGGCATCTTCCAGCACCAAGCTGAGGGAGGCACGAGGTACACAAGCATCAGAGGAACGGGAATCTCTCCTCTACTCATCGGCCACGTGGCCCTTGGTGTGACCCGGCCTCACTTTCTCCATTTTTAAATAAGGATGATCAGAGCTGTTCCTCATCTGCCTCAGGAGGGGCGGGGCCCCGCTGAGGATTCTGGTAAACTCCCTTCAGGCCATCACAACAGCGGCCTGACAGGAAGTGACAGAAAAGTTCTGCCCATAGTCTAGTCTTAGGATTCAAAAGCAAATTCCCATGGGGGGATTTGCTCTCAGGGATGGGTCTTACTCTGAACCCCCCACCCCCACCCCTTCTCCAAGCTTTGATGCTGTCTCACCTCAACTGGACCACAGCCGCAGCGTCATGAGCAGGTTAAATCCGGCCACTTTCAGGAGCAGGATTCGGAGTCCCATCAGTGACAGGTTTTGAAAGTTGAGGTTCATATCTGGGAAACCAAGAAGTCATAGCCGTTAAGGGTATGTGCACAAGAGGTCTGTACAGCAAGGCGCTACGGACTTTCCCAAGAGCTGATCAGGCTGGTGTGGGTGACTTCAGCTCCCTGGTCCATTTCTTTGAGCCTCTGCACACATCCCAGGGCAAAGGGATTTGTGTATTCCTCCAGGGCGAGAGCATCATGTTTTAAGGCAACAACCACCAAAGGACTTGGGCCACATAAAACTCTGAGGCCCTGTAGGCTCTGGGATGGGGCTGGGGTAGGTGCTCAGGGCGACTGTCACACCCCGTGGGCCTGGGCCCCTCAGTGACACCACAGGAGCAACAACTCAGGAATGAGGTGGCCCTGAGACAAGACAAACCTGAGGCTGTGTGGGTTCTACCACTTTTTAGCAAAGCTTCCCAAGACATTGAGGGACAGTGTTCTCAGAGTGACATGATTAGTCAGGGTGCTCTGAAGGGGCTCACAACTTCCCAGCCTCACAGTAAGCAGCTTCTTTGGCTGTCCTTACAGAGGAGCTAATAAAGGAGGTGCAGAGGCCTGGAGTGGCTCCCTGGCCTAGTGAAGCTGAAGACGCATCTTGCTAAGAACTTAGAATGGAAAATCAAGTTGACCATGCTGGGACTCAAGACAGACCATGGGCAGCTGGGAGTGGGTTTGGAAGTGTTGTTCTCATCCCTAGATTCATCCCTTCTCCTCCCCTTTGCACTAAAGGTTATTATGGGCTCGTGGCTTCCTCCAGCATCATGCAAAATTGGGCAGGTCCTTCTCTTACCTGTTTCAAAGCTTTTCTCTATCAACTTGGCATCACAGGGAACATCTAAAAGAAAAAAAAACAATTTTCTTAGAGTCAAAGCATGCAGACTTTTATGTGATTCTTTGGAAGAGAATGGGGAGTGGATATACTGCCCAGGGGCACCAATTGGCACAAAGGTCCTAATGGGGGCAACACCCGACTTCTGGACACTCTTTCATTCTTTCAACATATCTAGGCTGTGAAAGTTTATGCTACGTTACATGGACCACAGAGTCAAAATAGTCTGGACGTGGCAGGTTTCAGTACAGAGACCAGTAAAGGCAGCGAGACATATTCACAGTGACTAGGGCCATATATTTCCATGTATTTCAAAGAAGTTCTGGTGCCCAAATTTTTTCCTTTGTTATCCCTTAGTATCTAGTCCCATTGACTCAGAAGCTCTGCTCCTTCCTTGAAGCCCCATTGCTTTCCCATCTTTGTGTGGTGCTATTCTTGAAGCCCAAGTAGTGTTGGCCCCTGAAGTCCCCACCACCACCTGGCAGAGCCTCCATCATCTCTCTCCTGCATTCCCGTTCTCCTGCTGGATCTACTACAGTCCGCCCTCCACACAGCAACCAGCCTTACAGTTTATGGTATTTAGTTATTTTTGGAGACAGCGTCCCAGGTAGTCCAGGCTGGCCTTAAACTGAACTTGCTGTGTAGGCGAAGATGACTTTGAACTTGTGATCCTCTTGCCTCCACCTGAGGTCTGGCCCTGGTTTGCATCATCCTACTCATGCCCTGCAGCTTTCCCTTGCTCTCAGCCTTTCTCTTTCACAGCTTTCACAGGGTCCTCTCTGGCCGAGGCACAGCTGGTCCCCTTTTATCCTTTACATTGCAGAGTGAACGCATTTCCTCAGAGCCTTCTCTGAGGTAGCTGTTTCCTTAACTCTGTGTTAACGAATATATTAATTACAGCCCGACATAGCGGACATGTCTCTGCCGAGAGCTGATCTTCCTTGATCAGAATGATGCTCCCTAGGGTGCTCCCTCCACACCTGACATCTTACATCACTCCAGCATCTGGGACTCTGCACCCACACACTCTAGGCAGACACAGAAATCAGGGAATCAGAATGGTGCTCCCTAGGGTGCTCCCTCCACATCTGACCTCTTATATCACTCCAGCATCTGGGACTCTGCACCCACACACTCTAGGCAGACATAGAAATCAGGGCATCAGAATGGTGCTCCCTAGGGTGCTCCCTCCACATCTGACATCTTACATCACTCCAGCATCTGGGACTCTGCACCCATACTCAAGGCAGACATAGAAATCAGGGCATCAGAATGATGCTCCCTAGGGTGCTCCCTCCACACCTGACCTCTTACATCACTCCAGCGTCTGGGACTCTGCACCCACACACTCTAGGCAGATATAGAAATCAGGGCATCAGAATGGTGCTCCCTAGAGTGCTCCCTCCACATCTGACATCTTATATCACTCCAGCATCTGGGACTCTGCACACACACTCTAGGCAGACATAGAAATCAGGGCAGACAGCTGTGCGGCAGGAAGGGCATGGAAACTGCTTGGGAGAACAGAGAAGGCAAGTGTGGTTCCAACAATGACAGGAAGGTGGGTGAGAATTCAAAACAGGGAGACCAACTGAGGCCAATACTGGGCCAACACCCTGTGTCCTATTATCTTGTCTGCTTTAGGGCCAGACATTTGTGGCCTGCTAGGACAGGGCATGAGTAAAACAGAATGTGGATCTTGCTGACAACTGATGAGTACCTGACCAAAGCAGCTTTTAGACCACAGATTTGAGCTGGGCCTCTCCTGAAGCGAGGAGGTGGCTTTAGGTGGCACTCACCTGAGCTGGGGTAGGCGGCGTTCTGTCTGAAGGCGTCTTTACAGTTCAAACTACTGTGGTTACTCCAGGCAATGGCCCCGTTGCTCTTGGAATCCATAGACCGCATGTCCAGCACGGTGTTGTTGGAGACAAACACACCAGGTGGCACGTCCTCTGACTTGTTGACGTGGGAACCAAAGTCGGTGAACAGGCAGATGGTGCTGTTCTTGGCCTGAGCATCTCTTAGCTGGTACACAGCTGGTTTTGGGTCCTGGATGTCTGTGGGCCAAGAGGACTGATGTGAGAAGGTGATCCTCTTTCCCTTCTACCTTTTGTGTCCTAACAGAGGCCAGAACTCGGGTGCCAGTGACAGGCACAAACAGAGCACTCTGGGTTAGCTGGTGGTGTTCTCAGGCTTTAGACCAGAAGTGACACCTTCGAAATCAGCTGCTCATGATGGGCTGGGGACAGGCACAAATCCTGAGTCCTGGCCAAGTCAAGCTCTTAGTAGTTGCTCTCCACGAGGTACTGTCTGGTGTTCTGGGAAATCTGAAAGGTGGGGCCACTAAACCCTCTGGCCATTCTTTGACGTAATATCATCTTCCAAACTCAGTAACTCTAGCCAACAATTTTGCTCTGGCAAGATGAAAACAAGCTTAGAAAAAGTGGACCAAGCTTGTCCTCTAGAGAGCTCTCCCTCAAGTAGGCTGGACACTGGTGGGAAATGCAGGTGTGTGATATTTAGACATTAAGTTAGAAAATCTATCATATCACCAGGTGATTTCTCTCTCATTGGTAAATGTAATGAGTAACAAACCTAACATGCAATCCAAGTCCTGACTCTCTAATTTACCACCGACAGCCTTGATTAGATCAACAGGCAGCTGAAGTCTCAGAACCTTCACCTATAAAATGGACATGTTGCTTCATCACCTTTCCAACCAGGCTCTTTTGAGAAATGAGTATTTCTCCAAGTCAGATGAAACTAATCAAGCACACAGCACTCAGCAAATGTGCCAGAGATTCACCATGAACACACACAATCGAACAAACCCATCATACTGGCTAGTCCAAGAAACGGGGTCCCTTCCTCAGTGCTGAGACAATTCCTTATACTTTTTCTGAGAGATTTTGTTTTTAATGTGACTCTCGCTGACAAGTTTCCCCACCCCTTCCACCTTCAGAGGGGGAAGCAGAGGCTGGCCAGAAGGAAGGATTTAACACAGCAGACCACCTAGAAAGTTTCCGGCAGGGCTGGGACCTGTCCTGTGTGTCCTGATCCTGTCCTGTGTGTCCTGATCCCATTCTGTGTCCTGATCCCATTCTGTGTCCTGACCCTGTCCTGTGTCCTGATCCTGTCCTGTGTGTCCTGATCCTGTCCTGTGTGTCCTGATCCTGTCTTGTGTCCTGTTCCTGTCCTGTGTGTCCTGATCCTGTCCTGTGTCCTGATCCTGTCCTGTGTGTCCTGATCCTGTCCTGTGTGTCCTGATCCTGTCCTGTGTGTCCTGATCTTGTCTTGTGTCCTGATCCTGTCCTGTGTGTCCTGATCCTGTCCTGTGTGTCCTGATCCTGTCCTGTGTCCTGATCTTGTGTGTCCTGATCCTGTTCTGTGTGTCCTGATCCTGTCCTGTGGGTCCTGATCCTGTCCTGTGTCCTGATCCTGTCCTGATCCCACTCTCACAGTTCTTCACTGTGCATGAATTGTTTTCAGACCCGTGTGTTGCTCTCTGCTCACTGAGACAACCAGGGTGGCCTTGGCAATGCAGGCTTCCAGCTGGATCCTGAACCAGAGCCATCAGGGCCGGGCACAGCTGCCTGAAGCACGGTGCCGCCTAAGGATCAGCAGAGCTGGGCAGGCACTGCGATCTGACCCTGAGCTTTGGCCCCCTTCAGACAAGAAGATACAGCTGCAGCACAGGAGCTTCCTAGATTTTAGTCCCTTTCATTTTCGGCCCCAGAGACATCTACTGCCACCTCACCTTTCCCCCTGAAAATCAGAAACAAATCACCTTTAATCGGAGGTCTTTGGGTTCTGTCCCTGTGGTGAGACCTCCTATTCCTACCTCATAAGAAAAACACATTTTTACCACGGAAAGGCATCAGAGGTCACTTTAGCGAGACTGGATCAATTTTTCAACTACAAGTTCAGCTGTTCTGGATCCTAACCTGTCATCACAATTCAAAATGAATACAGAAGGCCAAGTCTGAACGTATTAGCACTGTAGGTCCCCAGGGGCACTGCTTGATGGAAAACACCCTTGCCACTAAATCTGTGCCCCGTAGTTAATGACTGGGAACTCAGAAGTGAGAGTTAGGGATACAGATGTGGGTCATTCAGGCTTGGATAGCATCAGGAAACAGCCCTGCAGGCTTTTCGGGAAGCTTGCCCACCCGTCCTAATGGCTCCTTACAGAGAAACCTGTGGTTGTCTTCCTCGGAGGCTGGGATTAACTCTTAGAGTCCAGTGAAGACAGAGAAAGGAGTCGCTGGCCACCCATGGAAAGAACTGACCCCTCTTACCTCACAACAGACTGCATTCTAAATTGGACTCTCAGTTTTCTTGTGGCTGGCCCTGGTCCCAATTTCTGTATTCTCTAGAAGGTTCTAGTCTTCCTTCCTTCTTTCCTTCCTTCCTTCCTTCCTTCCTTCCTTCCTTCCTTTATTCAAGGCAGGGTTTCTCTGTGTAGTCCTGGTTGTCTTGGAACTTGCTCTGTAGATCAGGCTGGCTTTGAACTCACAGAGATCCACCTGCCTCTGCCTCCCAAGTGCTGGGATTAAAAGTGTGTGCCACCACCACCTGGTTAGTATCTCCTTTTTATTTTCTGGCTAATATCTTCTTTCTGTTCTGTTCTCTTAGTCCATTTTTATTATCAGATTTGCCTACGAAGGCTACGTCGCCTGTGCTTGTTCATCCCAAGATCAGGTCTTCGTTCTTGTTGCTCTCTGTTGGAATTCTGACCCCCTCCTCTCTCCGACCCATACAGATCTTATCAATCTTGTCAGGGCTCAAAAAGTCTTTTCCAGCACAGAAAAGAGCCTCTGTCTAGGGTACCTTCTACCAGGACTTTAACCCATCTGAGTCTGTTTATCTGCACCGCCAGTTAGCGACACTAGAATAATTTGTAGGTTGCTAAATGAGCAATAGTTCTGAAGCTCGGTTAGCTTTTATGCTGTTCGGGGACAGGTCAGACATCTATCTTGGGATTTTTTTATTTTCATCCTAACATTATCTAAAATGATAGCTACTTAGAAGGCATTTAAAAGTGTCCGTTGAATGATTAAAGTCATATTTTAATGAGTTTGACCTAGAGAAGCCGATATTTAAGATGGATCGTGATGCCATCCCCCTTCGCAGACCTCTGTAAAACAATTAGCTCAGAACCCCCAGTAAGCCTCACCCTGCCGCGGTCACAAAGGCCATCTCCAGGGGAGGATTAATGACACTGGCCTACAGGGTTGCAAATGGTGCCCCTTGGCATGACTCACCAGATATTACTGCCACTTGGGTCCCTTTCCCAAATGTGAATGTCCCACTAAGTCCTCCAGTGTTCACACTGCAGGTGACCCCTTTACAGAAGCTTAGGACACCTTCCCTCTCTGTAGACAGAAGCCGCTCATCCCTCACGGGGTGGAGGATCACATTCCTAAGGCTGAGCCCTTCTGCCGTCTTGTACTGCAATGCAGTCTTTGCTATTAGTCCTTTCCTTCTGTCCAGTCTACTGCGGTGCCCTGAACTGAAGCGAATTTATGTGACTTCCATAAATTCAGTAGACTCCATGAGCTCGAAACCCCCTGCTCAGAGCAGCAGTACCTTGGATCCTCTAGTTGAAGGATCTCGATTATCATCTGCCTTGTGATTGCCAAGGGGTCAACGCAAGGATAATGTTTCCTCAGTACTTGGTGCTGGCTGGGGTGGGGTTTTCTAGAACCATTTAAGATCCTCCAGGAGAAAACACCTGAACTCAAGCCAGTGTCTTGGACAGCGAGGGAGAGGAAGTACTTGTGCTTCCTGCCCTTGCCTCATTCTCCGTTCATGGCCGAACGCTTAACGTGGTCCCTGCTCCACAGTTTAGTCTCGGGCTAGAGCTGAACCCCACTCCAGATAAGGTCTCTGCAGAAGCCTTTCTGATACCACTCTGCTGGAGCCCACTGGGGGTCTCAGGACACTACCCCAAACTGTCCTGAAGTTCTTGGCTTCTGACCACTTCTGTTTACTAAGGAAGCCGCTGCCCTCGCCTTTTACAAGGAAGGTGAACCGTGATGACAGTGCCGAGGACGCGTTAGACACTCTCGGCTTTCTCGCTACGTGCAGGCGAGGTCCCACATTATGATGTGGTATGAGTACGTTGTTAAAGTGGAAACAGTGTTAAATACAGCTGGGGAAGGTGGGGCCAGAACTCCCCTCACCTGCCATCTTCCTTTTCCATCTCCTGTTCTAGCCTTATTATAACGTGGAGCTCACCAACCACTAACAGAGTGCAGTCATTGACCCTTGGGCGAGGGTTCCAGGACTCAAGGTTCTGAGAGAAGCCTCTGGGAACTAGTGCCCCGTTAGCACACTCATTAGCTGACCCGGAGTTTAACTACCTGCTGCAATGAAAGAGAATTTGTGTTTGCCATTAACCCAGCTCTTCCTCCCTGAGGGCACTTAGCTAATTTCCTGAATGTTCAGGTTATCTGGTGCTGATCTGATCAGCTTCACTTGAAAGCACCGAGTATCTGCAATTCTTTTAACTTTTTCCCTATAAATTATTCTGTTCAGATTTTCATTTATTCAGTTGGCCCTTGGCACCTCTCTGACTTCAGTATGTGAACTGGGAACACTTTAGGCTACCACAAGAGCCTGAGGAAATAAGAAATAAAGTTTTGCGTACCCCAAGTTTGCTAGAGATTACACTAACAGGTCATCTTCTTGCTCTGGTCATTGGCATGGTCATACTCACATGGGCGCACAGCCAGGCTGGTCCCTGACCCAAAGGTCAGTGTAGTGAAGCCGCCATATAACACACAGTAGAAGGGTGCTTTACAAGAACTCTAACCTAGGCTGGACCAGCCTGGATGGGGCACTTGCCTCCTGCCTCAGTTTACCAGTCCCCCTCAAGACAGAAGAGAAGCCTCACCACTGATAACTTTCCTCAGGAATAGTCTCACAGACCTTTCCATCAGCCACCCTGGAGCCAGTGGGGCCTTCCTGAAAGGTAGGTACCTGTTCTGGCCTCTACACCACAACTGAAGATATGACAGGCAACTTGGAAGAACGTGAGAAGCCATGGGTTAAT